CTCTCTCTCTCTCTCTCTCTCTCTCTCTCTCTCTCTCTCTCTCTCTGTGTGTGTGTATGTCTGTGTGTGTGTGTGTGTCTGTGTGTGTGTGTGTGTCTGTGTGTGTGTGTGTGTGTGTGTGTGTATGTTCTTGTTTCTTACTGCTGCATCGCTTACTCCAGACTAGCTGGCCTGAGAGCTTTCAGGTGATTCTTCTGTGCCTACCTCCCATCTCCCCACGGGAGTGCCAGGATTACAGGTGTGCATCACTGCATCTGACCTCTAATGTGCTTTCTGGGAATCTGAATTCAGGCCATCAGACCTGCACAGCGAGGACTTTCACTCACTGAGCCGTCTGTCTCACCAGCCTGATTAGAATGTTTTTGCAGGTGGTTGGGAGTAGAGCGACTATTTTTTCTTCTCAAAATCTTATTGACAATAGTTCACCTACACTATGATTGTTATCTAGAGCCCTGTTATTTTTAACTCCTAAGAACGTGATAGAAACTCAGAACTGGAAACCATTTCATCCTCTTAGGATCCCTGGTTGATCTGATCTGAACACACACCAAAGCATTAGCAGAATGTTCTGGGATCCTAATTGGTGGGAGATTATTTTATTGGTTTTCAGGATTCTTTTTTAAATTCATGATCAGGGTTCTAAACAGTCTAATTGAAATAACTAGATTTTCAGAATCTTGGCCTGATGCCAAGAGGGTGAAAAGCTACTTGTCTTAGGGAAGCGTTGGGGAAATGCAAGAGGCATGCTTTTAGTCAGCTTCCTTTCCAGATTTGAGAAGTTTACTCAACTAATGTCTGTCTTTCTGCATCAAGTGTTAATGGTTATGTTGCTGCTGTGGGTCAAAGCTCAAACATATGTAAGCATATCTGGGGTGTTGTAGCAAACTACCACAGACCATAGAGTGAGTGGTTCATAAACAGCAGGTCTTTCTTTCTCACAGTCCTGGGGTTTTGGAGGTCCAAGATCAAGGTGCTGGCAGATTCAGAATCTGGCAAGGATTCACTTCCTGCTCACAGACAAAGCCTCTTCTCTGTGTGTCCTCACCAGGGAGAAAGGGCAAGAATTCCCTTTGCCAGCCTCCTTTTATAAAAGTGTTAATCTCATTCATTGACATTCCTTCTTAGGACCTAATAAGCCCCATATTTCTAATACTCAATTTGGAGGTATTGGTAAGAAGTTCCCATGAATTTAGGGGTGCACAAGCATTCATCTGCAGACTCAGCACGTCTCTTCCTGCTATGGAAGCCAACCTCAAAGGTTTCCAAGAAGCCTGAACAAGACATTAAGGTGGTCACAAGGGACATCTGATAGGATTCAAATTGACAAGGAAAACCCTAGGCCACTAGGATACAGAAAGGTAGGGCATCTTCATTATAAATAAAATTAACAGTTTGAGATTCCCATAAAATAGGAAAAGATTCCTACTCAAGGTGGTATACAACCACCCCTTAAGTCTAGCTTATCGCTATGTTAACATTTTTATTAAAGATATATCTGTATAAAAGACATAGCCCTGTGTGAGCAACCTTTACACCAAGTGTTAATTGTGCTAGATTCTTGATTCTCAGCTAGCTGGAGGTTTCAACCAGACGAGTGGGGGCTTCCATTCCCTCCCTGTATCACATAATACACCCTATCTTTCTGTTCTGCTCCAATGTCAAGGGGTGTGGGTATGTTCTGCCCTTCTAGGGAGGGAGAGGATAGTTTGTAACAAAGAAACAGCAATATCAAGACAGATGCAGTAGTGCTCTGTTCTCAAACCAAGAGTCAGAATTAAGGCAGGCAGCATTCCACCAATAAACAAATTTCTGTGCCTTAGCCCAAGGTCACAGCTGAATGTCTCCACTGTAAAGTCTGCTGTTGAGACTGCAGTCAGAGTTCCGCTAGTAAAACAGATGCCTACAATGTGGCCAACCCCAGCTTCCGTCTCTTGCACTTATAACCAGGCAACTTGCACATTCCTGTAATCTCAGCTCTGGCATTCAGGGGCAACCTTCTCTGCCTGTTAAGTTTGAGGCCAGGCTGGGATACATGCCACTGTCTCAAACAAGCACAAGACTACACTCATGTTGCAAGGGCTTCCTTAGTCTTTCCTCTTTACAGAAGACAGACCCCAAATCCTTGGGACCCAGCTTATACACATTCACCATCTTGGATTCTTGCTTAAGTGGCCAGGTCCATTCAGATCATTCTCCTCTGCACTCTCCTCTTCCAAGCTGTTTCCAAGATCCTTCGATAACCTCTACTGAAGGGTGCTGTTTCTTTTCCCTGACACTATGTCAGTTATCCCAAACACAATTTCTGGGATCAAGTTTCTTTGGTTAAAAGAATTAAAATTAAAATTAAAATTAACACATAGACATTTCAGGGGCCTTTCCTTTTCTTCTTTACAAAGTGTGCTTGTCTTAGCATAATATTAAGAAACCCCTCCTTGCAGTATGGATTTGAATCTGGGTCATATTTACTAATGATGGTTTAGTGAGAAATCCTATCTCAAAAAAAAAAATGGGTGGCGACCACTCCAGCAAACCACACAGCTTCAGTCAATAGCCTCCAAGCACATACATACAGCTGTGTGTGTCCACACACATGCACATGCATGTACTACACATGCACACAACCCTTGGAGTGGGTGATAGTGCTGCCATTTTATAAATCCACAAACCTCATTCAAATGTTTGAGTTTGTCAAAGTTACACAGTTATTCAGTGACAGAGGTGAGAGTCAATCTAACAGTGCTCAGTGTCTGATTTCAAATCATTCTCTTCTGGGTTGCTTAAGGCATCATGATGAAGGAAGGGTTGGGGACATCACGACAAATCCACTATCTCAAGATTGGTGTCTGGTTGTTACTGAACAACTTCCTGTGTGGTCTCTCACCCCTGTTGCCCTAGGTTCTGAAGTTGCTTCTGGTGGCCTGGGACCGCCGTCTCATCTTTGCCATTGGAACCTCCAGCACCACTGGCGAGTCCGACACTGTCATCTGGAATGAGGTGCACCACAAGACAGAATTTGGCTCTAATCTCACTGGCCATGGCTACCCAGACGCCAATTACCTGGATAATGTGCTGGCTGAACTGGCTGCCCAGGGTATCTCTGAAGACAGCACTTCCCATGAAAAGGACTGAGGCGGGAGGGTACTGGGGACCGCTGGACAGGAAATGGAGAGAGTCAAGGTAGAGGTTGATGCCATGCCTCCTGACTCCCTCATTTCCCTTCTTGTATTATCCCCACCTCTCATCCCTCTCAGTCACAGAGGGAGCTGGATTAAGGTGATGTCATTCATAAACTTCATCCAATGCAAACAAGACGTGGGATGAGGGCCAACGTCTTTCTGTCTCCATGGAGTCTTCAGTACTGGGTAGGCAAGAACCTGCACCTATCCCCATCCCTTAGCAGGGGTTATGGTCAGCACACTTAATGTATGGGAGTGTTGAGGCACTCCATATCCTGGCCTCTTGGAGCTGAGGTCCCTCTCCTCATCTGGCTTCTTGCTGCTTTCACTCTGCTTTGAGAGTGGAGTTTCTGTTCTTTTTTTTTTTTTCCTCCACTAGAGTCAGGGAGCTCTCACTGTGCAAGATTGGAGAGAGAGGTGTAGACTGACGTGACATCAGAAATTGGATGCCTTGGTGCAGAGTAAGGAAGCAGTTTGTGTTAAGAGGGTCAGAGTCAAATGCCTCTGGGAGTGTGTCCCTAGTGAGGAGTCTGGACCCTTCCTTCCTCCTCATCCATTGACCTGTGCATAGGCATCTGATTCTCTCAAGTGGATGGAAGGACTCAGGGATCCCTCTCTGGGTTGGCGTGCCATGATACTGTTTCCAACTAAGCGCTCTCTGATCCAGTCATAGCCTGCATAACTCACTGAGCATCTGCAGTATCCTCAGGGAGAGGATCCCATAGCCTTCTTCCCAGCTCATTTCAAACCAGCTCAGTTTCATCAAGTCACTGTGAGTTGGAGCCCACACCAGGCTCTTTGTCATCTGTGTGTGTGTGTGTGTGTGTGTGTGTGTGTGTGTGTGTGCGTGTTTTATTGGGAAAGTCCCATGATGTCTCTGAATTCTGTTTCACATACCAAATCCCAATTCTGTTGGGGATCCAATAGTAAAAGTATGGCCCTTTGACTTTTCTCAGCCTTTGCCAGCCCATCTCATGATAAACTTGGACCCTGTTGAACACAGAGTTGCACTTGGGAAGGTGTGTTGATGCAAGAGCTATATGCAAGAGCTAGATTGACCCTTCTCTTTCCTATTAATATTAGATCAGAGCCAGGCTCCACCCAGTCTTGTTTATATGAGAGCTCAGTTCATCTTCCCGCAGATTTGCTAGTTCAAGGCCAGAGATATTACTGTTCCCCATCCCAACCCCCTTCTCCAGCCTCCATCTAGTATAGATTGGCCAAAGCCATGGTGGCAGGAGCCTCTTTAGTTCATTCCTAACACAGGAACACATCCTGGTCTCCTCTAAACGGCATCTGGGTGGTATCCCAAGGCAATCTATCCCCAGAATCTCCTCAACTTTTGTCCCATTAAAGAATGAATTAGGTGTCAGGTAAGAAAGAATGGAGAATCAAGAAGGGAAACCAATTTCCCCTTTGGACATGGGTTCTTTTAACTCTGTGTTTGTTCCTCTGGATACTAATTTAAACTTATATACCTCATGTCTTGAGGGTTTGAAATATATATATATATATGTTCAATGGCTTCCATCATTGTTGACATTATTGCTGTGTCCAGTACAATCACCCAAGTGTCCCTAACCCAGTTCCCTGGTGCTGAGTTTTCTTTCACTCTACAAATGGCTAATGAAACTTTAATCGCCTCCCACTAGGGGGAGCTATGGTAGGAGGGAATGTTCGACCTTCTTAGTCCAACCCGTCCTATCAATTTGGGGGGTGGGGGCAATTTTGTCTCACAAGCCGAGCAGAAGATTGCTGAGTTCACTGCACCTCGGGGAAAATTCATGCCAAAGTAGAGAAAGAGACATCAGAACTAAGTGGAAGGCACATATCCACAGGAGTTAAAGTCACACCCTTTTAATAGATTAACACATTTCAGAGATACTCAGACCCTCAATGAGGGCTTACAATCATTTTTGCCTTTAGTACTCTGTTACCTACCTTCCCTGCTTCTTGGCAAGAAGGATGAGAAATTAGACTGGGAGTCCATGGATAGGAAAGTGAAGCAGAGTGAAGAAGAAATGAAAGCAGGCTCTGAGATGCATGAATGGCCAGTGGGAATGTTTTCATGCAGCAGAGGAGGTAGATGCAGGACAAGTGAAAGGAAGAGCCCAGAAGGACATCTCAGGGAGTGATTGTTCTAGAAGAAAAACCATTTTGAGGGTTAGTCTTCATGCCTTCAAGAATTTCCCCAGAGGACTTTAAAGTGCCCCGTGCCTCGTTTCCTTCTTCCCTGAGGATGCTCTGAGAGGCTACCTCACCCTCAAGTTACACTCTTTCAACTTTGTGGGCTGATGGAACCTCGGCAGTCTCAACAGTATGTCAGTCAAAGCATTGGCTGATACCTTACTCTTTCTCTTGTGCCAGCCCAAAAATATACAGAATTGGTTTCAATAAAATTAGGCCCTGGGCACGAGCTACTTTGCTCCAGAGTATTTCCCCAAGAGAAGCCCTGGTGTGCTCTACTGGGCCACACAGGGCCTCCAGGCCTTTTCTTTTACAGTCTCAGCACCAGCAGCCATGTTTTCCCTTCATGAGACTCCAGGGGTGACAAATGGGATTGGAGACTCACCTTGTGAGATGCTTATCCCTTGAAAAGCTATGTGGTATATCTGTGGTTGTCTGTGCCTTTGTGCTTCCATTCCCCTCTCCTTTTTGTAAGATTCAAACTTCCATGTGATTTTATACTTGGGTCAAAAGTACTTGTCCTGGTATCACACTGTTGTGTGCATGAGAGGATTGGGAGAAGGCTGCTGTGGCCCAAGAAATAACCATTGCCCCCCCCCCTGCTTGTTGGTGGTCACTTATATCTCAGTGGAGTTTTCTGGGAGAGGGCTGGTGAATGTCCAGATGTCAGGTGTTCTGTTTGTAACTGCTGTGATTTGAAGTTGTTGATGTTGTTCTGTGGGAGGACATTGCCCCCTGGTGCTCATGAGGTGTATATGCAGAACAATAAACTGCAAATGAACAAGCACAAATTGATGTTCCTCCTGAGGGGCTGCTTTTGTAGAAGTGCTTTGGCACCTGTCTCAGAAGCACGAGGATTACTTCCTTTATCTGTGGGCAACCTCAATCCAACTAGTTTGATAAAGGGAAACTCCCCTTTCTTCATTTTCTAAAATCTCCCACATTTCTTCTACCCACACACTTGACCTGGCTTGACTCTGAGTTCTCCTCAAAGAAACAGGCCATAAAGCAACGGAAATGAGTATGCGAACTTGTGGGGGTAAGGGTCATCTTTAAAAACATAGACATTGGCTTCTTGTGTGTTGGGGGATGCATGTGTGTATGAGGGACTGTATGTGTGTGGGAGGTGCATGTGTGCGAGGAGATGCATGGTTGTATAAAGGGGTGCATGTGGAGGTGGTAGATGTGTGTGGGGTGCATTGTGTAGGGGTACTGTGTGTGTGTGTGTGTGTGTGTGTGTGTGTGTGTGTGTGTGTGTGTGTGTG